ACTCAGATTTTAGAACAATTGTCTTAGTGATAGGAGGAGTATTTTCCCAACTTGTACTTTGCGTGTATTTTTTTGGCCTGCAGTTTTCCTTCCCCCATCTTCAACCAGTGAACCTGCAGCTGGAACGTGCATGAGTTGATTAAGGACATCCACTCCTCTGCGTAAGGAAAACCAGCACACCGAGGAAAGCCGGCACGCTAAAGCATCAGCCTGTTACACAGAGCGAGTGCGACTAAAATACTGTCATATCACAAGTAGCACATTTTACCAGGCTGTAATTTAGTTCTGAATCGAATGCCTGCCCATCCTTTCATTCTGGGTACTGCGTGAGAACAGATCCTGTGGGTACAGCCTGTCCTGGGGGAGCTGGAACCCTTCTGGAGACAGGGACATTCCTGGCGGCTGCCACCTCTGCTTGGCTGTGCCCACACCCCCCGCAAAGCCATGCGCGTGCCCTCCACGTCACTGCACCCCAGCAGTACAATTTTAAATCATGCTCCCTCTATATATATATACACACACACACACATATATATAGGTTCTAGTTAGCAGCCACACACTGAGCAGGAATCACTTGGTGGCTGCTGAAACCAGTGCAGCTGATCAAGAATGCCAGGACAGCTCTCGAAACGATGGGTAACCACCAGGTAACGGCAGATACAGGACAGCCTGATTACACCAAGAGTGGACCTACCAAAGGTCAAAACTCTCATTCCCTTCACCAGAACCACAATATCTATTTGTACACATTCTCCTCTTTTGCTACTGCTTTTATGAGATTATTCTCACATATCTCACATAACTGCCCAGACTGGATCAACTTAAGACTAAGTGGAAAGTTTTATGACATCCTCATTCATTTTGTCTGAGGAGAAGGTCAATGGAATTTATTTTTTTCCGCAGCAGAAAATGCACCTTTGCGTGTCAAGCAATAAAGTTTACCCGGTTATTCTTGTCACCTGCTATGTCAGCACTTCTCTCTTTGTAAACAAAACCAAATTAATCCAGGTCATGAGCTGGCAGTCAAAATGCAATGTACCAGAGCAAGGAGATGGTGAACAGCAGCAGAAGTGAGAGAAAAATAGATGATTCTCTTTTAAAATAGAACTGCAGGAGTAAAATGGCAGCACTTGAGCAGAGAAAGCATCAGAGGCATGAGCAGAAACAGAGGCCAGCAGCTTCTGAAACTCCTTGGCTCTACTGGCATAGTCCTCGGGAGTAAACCGAGATTAAATCCATCCAGATTATTTACTGAGTGCCTGACATTTGCATTAATTGGCAGTAAGACACTGAATAGTAGATAGTCTTGTCTTAAACCTAAATTAGCTAAATAGCATTAGACAAAACACAAAAAATCTTGTCATTTGAGAGCATGTAATTTTCATCAAAACCCCCAAACAACAGCTTTGGCACTCCCAGATCCTTCAAGTGGTGCCTCCTATCCTCTACCACCAGCCTCACCGGCACAGCCTGACGAGCCCATCACCGTGCTCCCCGTTCCTGCACCCTGCAGCCAGGAACCCCACGCCAGCCTCGAGCGACTTCTCATTCCTTCACCGCGGTGAAATCACTACTCGGTGCCAACTCGGCTGGGACAAGCCCTACAGCCTCACTCACCGCTTCCGCCCATTTTCTTTCCCTGCTTTCAGCTGTACCGCGCACACATCCTCATCTGCCGTCGCTGGCTTTTGCCGAGACTCCAGTAAGTGAAAATAACAGTTCAGACATTGCAGATCAAGGGTTAATTACTGCTTGCATCTCTGGTGCAAGTAATCAGCACACGAGTCCGAGAAACAAAACACACGCTCCATTCTGGGGACCGGAGCTGACTGAATTAATTACCTGTGGCAGAACACAAACAAAAGGAGGAGGGGGAGAAAGTGCATTTGCAGCAAGGCTGCTCTCACGCACCAGGCTTTTTAGCCTGTTGCCGTGTTTTGAAGATCCATACTTATTCTTACCTCCCATGTTATCTTAAATCGGGCTCTATTGCATCAAAGACAGAAAAAATTATCTTTGTGGGCCAGAGTAGAGAAGTCAGGACATTTAGCTCTGCAGAAGGAGCAGACAGACAGCAGCAAGGCCAAAGCCCTCGTGGGACTCCTCACACAGCTCGCCCTCCCTCTCCAGCGATTCAAAGTCAGATGCCGCCATCTGTTGGCAACTTCCCACTCCAACAATAAACAGGTTTTTCTCTTCACGCACAGCAGGCGGCTTAAACATCTTTTATCCTGTTATTAACCAACAGCGTAAGAAGCAAAGGCAATCGGCATCTGGAAACGCTGATCGTGAAGCTGAGGGCAGAAGTGAGACCAGGCTGCACCCCACAGGTGGGTCACTCTCTCCCGACTACTTCCGACTTAGTAACTTCCACAACTGGAAGTAAGACCTGACCCCATTTTACCACCCGTGACCAGGACCACTGGTGCTTACCTCCCTGTGAGCAGCCAGGCAGGCCAGAGGGACAGTCGGCAGCGCAGCACCACCACACACCTGCCGTACCGCAGGATGATGAGCTGCTCCAGGGCAACCAGGTGCTGAGATTTGGCTTAGCAAGGAGCAGCAGACCTCCAGCAAAAGGCCAGAACCTCTCTCTACATCTGGAGAGGGTACGGGAGACAACCACTTCCAGAGTCATCCAGTGCCAGCCCGCAGTGTACCCAGGACAGCACCAGGCGCAGAGGCTGGTCATCGACGGGTTTGCAGCACCGGCGCTTTCCTCAGGCGTCACCCACCCTCCCAGTTATCCCCACGGGAAGGTCAACTGCCTCTGTCCCACGGGGGACAACTCCGTTGTTAACGTCCCCCTCTGCTCCACAGGCACCAAACACATTCTCTAAACTAACACCTTTCCTGTGGCTGCCAGCAGCAACCTGTACCGGGCCTTTCCCCTCTCACCGCTCTGTTAATCCTTTTATCACCCCGAAGGATAGTTAACTTTTACCTACAAACACCGCTTTCCCAAGGCATATGGCCTCAGCTCAGAAATCACCTTAGGAACTTAGAGCAGCCGCAGCAGCTTCCGCGTGTGGCAAGCCAGTGTGGAGTTACATTTGTTATACACTAGAAAAGGTGCAGCTGCTGCTGCACGCTTCCCTCCCAGTCAGTCTTTTTACACTGGAGCTCTGATTTCCACCTAGTAATTCTACAGAAGTTGTCAGGCTGGCTTGTGAAATAAATTAACAGTCTGTTCTCAACTGAGAACATCAGAAATTCTCTTACTTTAGAAGTCTCTGTAAGAGCAAAGGTCACATACAGGTAAACTGGTTCAGAAAAGTGATGTGCACGTCCTGTACAAAACAGTTTTAAAACACAAATGTCAAACCATCAGGGAACTTGAGGCCATAGTAAATTCACCCACAGGAAGCCTTCAAGAGCCACAGACCTTCTCCCATCAGGTATCAGAACCATGTGTTCTGTTCTGACTGATACAAATCACATCATTGTATAAAAAAGAACAGCAGAACCTTGATAGGATCTTCAGGGTTACTCTGAGCAAGGAATACAACAGCTCGGGTGGAGTCAGTGCTTAGTGCTGCAGAATTATCGCCATCACGGATAGAAAAAACCCCACTGTTACAAAAGAGCTTGATCTGACAATAAAAACAGGGTAAAGACAGACCTCTGACTTTGTAACTACTCTTTGTAATTCAGGATACAGATCTTATCTTGGAATAAGCAAATTTCTGCTTCAAATCAGACTGAGAACCACAGTGATCACCTTGGAATGCTCTGATGCCATCTGCAATGTTTGTGTCCGCAACCTGCCTGTGACCGAGGTAACGCAGGTAACCCAGCCCTTCGTACCCTTCCCCTGCTCTCCCCAGCCAAGCTCTGAGCCTGTTCGGGGATGCTAGCACACACCACCAGGACACTTCCCAAAAGCATTCCTTCTCACTTCGCTGCCGCCGCCTCGCTCCTCAGAGATCCACATCATCACCTGCCTACAAAGAGTTAAGATCCGTTTGCTGAGCAGCAAGGTCTCCTTTTCTCCCAAAAAACCAACAGACTGAGGTCAAACAGGTTACACAGTTACCAGCTAGAAAGACACTGTGCCTGAAGCCCGTCACTTCACCCCAAGGCTCCCTGAGCAGCTCCACGATGCAGTATCGCCTTCAAGGCGCACCACTTCAAGTTCAAGCCAGCGTACGCATCAACCATGACAGAGCACCAAGGACAACCGTTTCCAACTGTCTGTATCAAGAGCCACAAATTCAAGTGTTTTAAAGCGAGTTGAAACAGGCTTGCTACGTTTCAATAGGCTCCTTCCTAACGAAGGCTCCAACGAAGCGAACTGAAGCACGGCATTCCCAACGGCTGTTGGAGGACAATGCAGTCAGCCCAGACGCTGCCTTCCTGTTCTCTACCATCCGCACGTGGCTCTTCAGCCGGACTCCTCTGCTCTGTGCACTGCTCCGAAGAAACACGTTGATGTTTCTGTATCGAACACGTGATGCTGTCATGCATTAGACGTCTGAAACAAAGACCAACAACTCATTCAATACTAAACATTCACTAGCTGTAGGTTCAGATTTCCCATCTCCTTGCTCAAAAAAGTAACTTAAAGAAATCCCTAACAGTTACAACTTCATGGCAACATGTGAAGCAGCTGCACAGCAACTACCCCGCCCAAGCCTGCTGTTCCAGAGGTCATCTTCTATTTTTCACCCAAAAGGTGAGTGGTCACATCTCTAACTAAGCAGACACACGTATCCAATAACCAAGCAGCGACCCCACCACACAACAGCAGACTACGTTGCTTAACCATAGAGCTCCCGCTGAGGCTATGCTGTAGTGACCTGTAACTGCCACTCAAGGGGGAATTACTGAAAGTACGGTGTATTATTAACAGAAATAAAAGTCGTGACCAGGGATGGCATGGAACCCGAACGTCATTTGCAGGAAAGATGGAACTGGAGCACCACTGAAGTGCTGTCTGTTACAAGCACCGTCACAGGTAGTGTTAGAAGTCATTAAAATACTGACTGGGAACACCAGAGTCCATTTGAACAATTTATTAGTATCCTCTTTTTTTACAAGTTTTAGAAAAAGAATCCCAGGATTTTGCCTCCTGTGTGTTTTCGCCTAGCCTCCTCATGGTCCATGATGCCAGCTGAGGTCGTCAGTACAATGTACCTGTTAAGAAAGAACAAATAAATGTCCAGTTTATCGTTTCATTCTATGGTCACGTAGAGTCGACAGCACTAACTTCATTTCTGTACGACGACGGCAAGGTCTATTGCTGTAAGAACGGGCCTAACGGAGCTCAGATTGGGTTATCAGGCAACAAAAGAGAAACTCCTCTCCCAAGCACAACTCTGCAGCACACAGAGGACACTTACAGGCTTCTGTTCTCCAAATATTTGCCTCAGTCTCAGCAAGAAGTTTTCTTGCTCATTCCCACTGCAAAGTCAGTTCAGCTGTTGTAGCAGGAGCACCTCTAGTTTCTAGATAAAGCCTACTTCTACTTTAAGCAGACATTTTTCCCCAGAGCAGGTAGAGTTGCCAGGGTGCCAGACACCCCTCAACTCCGAGCGCTTTGTCTCAGTTCTGAGCACCGAGCACTGATGCAGATCAGTGTCTGGATCTGGGCTGACAGCTGACGCAGCCTTACTCATTGCTAATGTCAACACGTGGATTATCGGCAGCTTCATCCACACAGCTTCGCATCTGAGAACCTCTCATCTCCATACATACTCCTAAAAGTCTCGGTATGACAACACACACTAGAGAGTAGGTAAGTACAGCTACGGCACGCAGCTCATCACTGGAGCTCTAAGAACACAAGTGACAAGGCGCTGTTAATCCTGCCTCCGAGGGGAGAGGCTGGCTGACCCCTGAAGGCTCTTCTAGCCCTGTCATCCTGCTGCACTGAGGTTTATCGCTCTTGACTTGGTGAATTTTGGGAAGCAGCAACATACTGCGTAACTAAGATTTTCTGTGCTGTGAAGGTTTGAGAGGCTCTGAGTCTCTCATCACTGATTATCTAACCAGTTTACACACAGTCAGGAAGTTTAATTTAAAGCAGTACGACCTACTGCCAGTGACCTGGTAACTGTCATGACTCCTCCTCCCCCATCTATAAATGGCCATTAATAAGGTCAAACCAAGTAAGAGAAAACTCCTATTTTCACAGTGAACTGAGGAAATGGTGAAACCAGGATTTACCAGAGCCAAGCAAAAATAGGTCCTTGCTTAGCAGTGCCTCTTCAAAAGTGGTTAAAAATAGCATTTATGTAGAAGATGGATTTTTAGACTGGCATCTACCTCCAGACTGATCAGAGAGGAAAGGTGTCAGGCGAGCATAACTCAGGCAGCATAAAAGCATAATAAAACTCCCACATTTTTACATACGACGCGGATTTAACTCTTCTCCATCCTTACCCAAACTGACGTGAAGGCAGTAGGTTGTTCTGCCACTTTTCCAAATCCTTCAGCTGAACATCAAATCTGGGACTGATCACACCACACTGTAAAACAGAATTCCATTACAAACCAAAGAACTTCATAAACTGGATTGGTACATTTGTCATCCCAACTCAATGAACGAAGCAATCTTGCTGACAAAAATATTTGAATTGTTAAAGATTAGAGTACCAAGGGGCAGGCTCCATTACCCATAGCATGAAACAGCACCACATCTCCAGTGAGTTGGGGCTCTCACACAGCTATTACCCGTTATTTCCTTAGCCTTGCCTCCTCCTCCTCGCCTAAATAGCGACTTACACCGCTGCAGAAGCTAAACTAACAAAAGCGTACTATAAATCACCAGAGATTACTAAGCATCCTGTATCATCAAAAAACCTGAGATTATTCAGGGATATTCTAATCACCATACACAGTTAGCAAAAAATGGCTGTAGATTGTAAACAGGGAGAAACTAACTTGCATAAACATTATCAAAGTTTTCAAGTTAATCATATTACTCACTGACCATGATTACTACTACCACCTCCAGTTACCTCACTGGCTCCAGTTACCTTAATAAATATCCAAGTGCACTTCCTGCACTGGTGGAGGCTTTGCTGAACCAAACAACTGTTCCCTTATTGCAACTAGTGAGAGAAACATTATATCCAGCTGCACCCCACAGGATCTGTTACAAAATCATCCCGGAAGAGGTCAAGAACACCGTACTCAAGCCTGACATACACTATTTTTATTACAGACCCAAAACACTGGTGATTTGAGTGGTGTCAAGTGTTCTCTGCCTACTATACTCATGCAATTTTCAGCTGCAATATTTGTCCATCAATAGCCCCCAACATAATTTGACCAAGTAACTTCTGTATTTCTTTACCACAGAGCCACCTCTCACTTGAACAGCTTAATTGGAAACAACGATGCACACAGCAAGTCATCACAGAACTAGACAGCTCCATATTTTGAGACAAAAAGCATTAAAAAAAATTTCCAAAACACACGTGAATACTCCACATACCCCAGGAACTTAGAAAGCACTAATTGACGTAACATTCAACTTTCCCTCAACTGCAAGCAAAGCCCATCTAGCAGCAGGAGAAAGGCTTGTCTGTCTTCTCCACATTTACAGGTATTAAACATCAAACGGAAAGCAACTCAGTTCCTATCTCTTAAGTCAAGTCTTCGAGATAGCTTAAACATCAAAGGAACTGAGAAATCACTTGGTAGCCGGAAAGCCTTTATAGGGAGAGAAACACAGAGCACTTGCAAGCAGACTGCCCTGAAAATGTGTCTTACATATTCAGTTTAAAAGACATGTAATTAGTCAACCATACCATTATGAATCTAGAAAAATAAACAAGCACTTGATAACCCCTGATAATACCTATATTATTCTCATTTACACGGATTCAATAAATACCACCTTCTTTACAGGTAATTCTTTCACAACTGGAGCTGACAAACATTTTAAAGCAAAAGTCTCATTTAAACACCTTCCTAGAGAACCGAACTGAGGAAGAGAAATCCTACCTTGTTGAGCCTGCCTGTGAGATTGACGACAATCTTCCCGGCTCTGTGATCATCAATTATCTCAAATTCACCAATGTAACCTACAAAAGATTAGCAAACAGATCAAATACTGAATACTTAGCTACATTAATAACACAACGCAACCAGCTCAAGCATCTTGAGGTACTTTTTAGTCAGAAAGCACCTTAACGCAATGGCAACCAGAGAAACCAGGAATGAGAAACAAGTCAGCGCTGTGCACTCTACTTACCATGCTTCATCATCACAGTTAAAAACCGGACGATTACTTTGGAGCACGGCCTAATGAGAACTTGGCGTTTCCCACGTTTCTCTGCATTGTTAATGCTTTTGAGAGCATCGGCTAGAACATTCATGCGCACCATGGTGCCTGCAGGGAAGAGGAGAGGTAGTTAAGTACTCCAGCTTTTTTAAGGCTAGTTTTAGACCTAAAAGGTCTCAGACTCACAGCAAGCTGCATTAAACCTTAAAGAGCATTCTTAGGCTAAAAAGCAGATCAAGGCACATCTTGGGTGTGCCCGAGAGGATTCACAACTACCGTGACAAGTTAGGAAACCCGATGTGCTCATTTAACCTTGGCTTTATCAACACATACACACAAGGATTTAAAACCCACCATCTAGACAACGCTTCCTCAGCATGACACCTTTCCCAGGTGAATCGTTTTGGAGTTTAAAACCCAATTATACAGTATTAGCCCGGGACAAAAACTAGGTTGTACGTGCTAATAAAGGTAATAGCTGCTGCTCGGCTTGCTGACTCCCCACAAAAAATTTGCAGGATGCAAGTGCAACGCAGCACCCTGCAAAGGAAACCGGGCATCGACCGTTGCAACCCCGTGAGGAAGAGAAGAGCCCCCGAGTACCCGCGGCACGACGTGACCCGGCACCCCGCCCCCCTGAC